ACTAACCCGCAACCCGTTTGAACCCGAACCCGATGAACCCGAACCCGATAAACCCGCAACCCGATGAACCCGCAACCCGTTTGAACCCGAACCCGATTGAACCCAGCCCGAACCCGCCCGATTGACACCTATATGCATAACCATGGGTTATACACCCATCAATAACTAAATTTGGACCCTTCATTTACAAAATCCAGATCTAAGGATGGAGAATTAAAGGCCATTTTTATTTTCCCTAGCTTCTTAATCGACTCATATCTTTTTCGTTTTAACTCGGATTTTAAATTTATTTGCACAGATCGAACGAGTTTGTTGTTCTCTACAAAATGAGACCCATTTTCAATATTTTTTGAGAAAAAAATTTTCTTGCCTCTCGGTACCAACTGCATACCATATGGTATCTTCTTTGTTTTTTAAAACGTTTGCACAGAAGGAACGAGTTCATCATGATCTATTGGATCTACAAATTTCTAGGGGGTTAATTGCATGGTTGGTCACTGAGATTACAAAAAACGTTCAAGTTTGGCCACTCGAAATATTTAAATCCATTGATGGTACTTCAGTTTACTGAAACCGTTCAAGTTTGGTCACTCTCCGTCCAACTCCGTTAACTTTTGCTGATGTGGCAGTCAACTCTCAAAGTTGACCGATAACTTAGTGACGTGGCATTTAAAAAATAAGAAATAAAATAAAATTTAATCTATTTTAATGTCCAACTCATTTTTACCATAAAATATATAAAAAAATAAAATAAAAATTATAATAATTATCAAATTGAAAGAGGCGATTCCTCCTCGTCGGAGCTCCCAAGCCAGCCCAGCAGTGGCGCCAGGAGACCCGAGAAGATTACAACAGAAAGCGAATATTGGCCTAGTTGTTTTTTTCAGGTAATCATCCCACGACAGTAAGCTCCCTCCTTCCTTCTCCACTTCACTCTTCAGGTAATCATCGTTTTTTCTCCTTTATCAAGAAACTAGCGTGGGCCCCGGCCAGTTGCCCGGAGGAATGTGAGATATGAAATTTGAGAATGTAATGGGGTTTATAGCTTATTGTTGTGTAGTTTTTTTTTTTTTGGGAAACTAATGATAAAGATAGTGAATTTTAGCAAGAAAGAGGCATGGATGATGCAACGAATCAAAAAATCAGCCTTATGAACCAAGTTCGAGTACCTGTTACCTTGTGAAACGGTATTATTTCTGGTAATACGATGAGGTGGAGTAAATTTTATAGAAATCGAATTCCAGAAAACCGAATAAAAAATACCCTATAAAATACACTATATTTAATCATTAGGATGTCAAATAATTACATAATATATATTTGATATTATAAAAAGTGGACTAATCAGGTTGGTCGAGGTCGAACCATTTAATAACTTTAAAATATATTATATTTTAGCCACTAAGATATAAAATAATAGAATAATATATGTTATGCTAGCGAAAATAGCATGTTTGAGGATGGCAAACCCATGATGTTCATTTGTTTTACTTGAAACTTGATGGTCAAATCCCGTACGAGTCAGGCCCATTCAACTCTTTTATTCTATGGTTAGCGGTTAGCCCATTAGAATCATTGCATTAGTTTATTGTTAAATTTTTTCTTTTTAGCAATAAAAAATGAGTATTGTTTTGCCCTTTCATATATATCTTACCAACACTGAGAAATCAAAGGGCTTAAAGAAAACCCTATATCCCCCTAGAAAAAGCTACTCAGTGCTAACCGGCTCATGGTTCACTTCTCTCTATTTCGATCTCAATTATATCGCCGCCGGTAGCCACTTCTACCCATCCCTGCTTTCTTGTCCTTAATTTTAGCTTTGCAAACCTTTTTCCTGCATGCCATCCTCCCTCCGAATGTCAATTTCCACCCCCTCTCGGTCTCTGTTTTTCATTTCTTAATCTTCCATTCTCTTATCACTTATTTAACCCTCCCCCCCCCTCTCTTTGTATATCTTCGACGCTAGTTTAACGAAGAAGAAGAAGAAGAAGAAGAAGAAGAAGAAGAAGAAGAAGCCACCAATCTTCAATAATACCGTATTGTTACAGTGAAGCGATATTGTGGATTTCTTTGACACTTATCTGTTAGAGCTTACAAATGATGGAAAAAGGGGTGGTTGATTATGATTTGATTAAATGACTCAATCTTTAAATTTTACTTGCATGCAATTTATCACCCTTCTTCATGAGCATGACTGGGTCTTTTTAGTATGCTTGGATTTCTTTTCATAGGGAAGGGATTAGGCGATTAGCACATAGAAGAAGGATTGGGGAAATTATTTTGTAAAAAATTATGAAGCTCTCTTTCTCTAATTGTCTCATTTATTCTCGGCGTTGGTGGAGTCCGGATCCAACATCGGAACAATCCAAGACTCGGTTACGGTGATCGTTATGGAGGCATGAAAGAGATGCGGTCATGGCTGGAACCTGTTCTATTTTTGTGGGCCGCAACAATCCCTGGGCCTGTTCAAGTCTGCACGTGTACGGTAAGTTGGCTCGTTTCACGGAGGAAAGAGAAAAAATTGACACTCCCTATTATACTCTTCCTACAAACGCTCATGGAGCAGGAAATTTGAAATGGGGGAAGGATTTTTTTCCTTCGTGCTATTATATTATGTGTAGATTGTAGTAATTAGAACCCACTTTTAAATCTGGAAGCAAGTAAACACTAACACAAAACATCATATTGTAAAAACTTATCTGCAATCATGAGGTTGTTTCACTCAAAATAAACTATGTTTTATACGTCGAAGATCAGCATTATAGCTTGAATAGTTCTATTCGGCAATGATCTCAGCTCTTACATATAAATTTTGTGTAAAAGTGGTATGATTGAAGATATTCCCTATGTTAACACTAATCAGAATAGTCTTTGTTTACTAGAAACTAACCACCAAAACATTTCAAATCAGAAAAATGATGAGACTGAAAAGGAGTATCATAACAAAAGCAACAAAAAGTATAGTTCTTTATCTTTAATCAACTAAAAAGTCAACCTAGAAGATCAAACAAATGAACAGTTGTTAAGAGATCATACATTACTATCAAAGAAACTAAAAACCCCATCAGTCAGCTCTCCGAGCAAGAACACTCAACCTTTACATATATACCCCTCCGAAAATTGCTTTGTGTAACAATATAGGTGGAGGAGGATAGGTTGTCGAGTCCGATGAGAAGGTTTGGAGAGACGGTGATGGTTGAGCCTTTAGTAGGACGGGAGCTTGGGACACTGTTTATCTTTAATAAACTCAAAAGTCAACCTAGAAGATCAACCAAATGAACTGATGTTAAGAGATCACACATTACTGTCAAAGAAACTAAATAACCCACCAGTCAGCTCTCCAAGCAAGAACACTCAATCTTTTCATATATACCCCTTCGAAAATTGCTTTGCTTAACAATATAGGTGGAGGAGGTTAGGCGGTTGTCGAGTCCGATGGGAAGGCTTGGAGAGACAACGATGGTTGATCGTTCAGTACGTAGGTCGGGACATCATTTAGACCTATTTACATTAGTTGCGGCTTTTCAATCCGCATTCGACAAACCAACATCACTTAACCTTTCCATATTTACCCCTCTCTTAAAGACACATGTGCCACATATTCACTCAAAACTTCTATGTTCAAAAATATTGTTGCTTTTTGGTAGTTATATTATTTAAGTGTGATGTGCAATATTTGAACCAATGACATTAGGCTTGCGATTTTAAAATTATTCTTCTTTTATAAGATAAAGAGAAATAGAATTAATTTTTAAACTCGAATTAAAACAATCAAATTATGAAAATAGAAGTATCAAATACCAAAAAAATATTTAGGGGAGAGTTAGTGGCTTAGCTAACTGTGATGTAAAATTCCAATGATTTTTCAGATTTAAACTTCCTGTATATTTTTAATTTAAAAAGTTTAAACAAATTTGTTTAGTGTAACTGGTTATGTTTCTTGTCTTTTCTCAAAGAGATAAAATTCAAATCCGATCACTTATGTATTTTTCCTGTGAATAAGAAAATGATAAATGACTGTGAAGACGAATCTACCATTCCTACTTTTGCTATGGATGCAGGAATTTTGTAATGGGGGAATCACATTTCCCATTTCACTCTTATATTAGGTGTAGCGCAAGTAACCTGGTGGTTGAGTGTTTAGTGGGTCGGAAACTATTTAGGCATGTTTACATTAGTAGCACATTTTCCATTTGCGTTAGGAAAACCAACAACACTCAATCTTTCCATATTTACCCCTCCAAAAATTGCTCTCGCTTAACAATAGAGGTAGAGGAGGTTAGTCGGTTGTTGAGTCCGATGAGAAGTTTGGAGAGACGGCGATGGTTGAGCGTTTAGTGGGTCGGGGCACTATTTGGACCCGTTTACATTAGTAGTGTCTTTTCCATTCGCGTTTGACAAACCAACATCACTCAACCTTTCCATATTTACCCCTCTCTTAAAGACACGTGTGCCCCATATTCACTCAAAAGTTCTGTGTTTAAAAATATCGTTACTTTATGATAGTTATATCAATTAAGTCTATGTTAAGAATCCTACATCGCTTCTACACATTCAAGAGTGCAATTCAATATATGCAATATTTGAATCAATGACATTTCGGTTGCTAACCGTGGTGGAAAAGTCTTATATTTTTCAGATTTAAGCTTCTGTATGTTTTTATTTGAAAAATATCACACTAATGTGTTTATTGTAACTGGTTATATTTCTTATCTTTGTTCGAAGAGACCACGGTTCAAATCTCATGTTTTTTTCCCCAGTTTTCTCAACTAGTCTGCTTGAACTAGTTTGGATAGCATCCTCCGCCACTGGGAAACTCTTAGGCGGCATAGCCTTTAGCAACTTCTCTCCTCAACCTATGTTCCCTGATCTGCACTTTATATAATTTGAGCTGTAAACGGACAAAAAAGAGACGTTTTTTTCTCTGCAAAAGATGAGCTGTAAACATTGCCTCCTGCCATTGTGTTTCTCATCAGAGAGTGGGAGGAGAGACAGAGAAAGTGATGATCATTTACTATGACATGAATGAAGGTGGTGTGGATCAGGATTGGAAGATGACGGTGAAAAGTGAAAATCGAAGAACTAAAATGAATCATAGCTAGGCGATGGATCTCACCTTGTAAGCCTCAGCAGTGTCATATCCAAGAATTACATCATTCATCTTCTCTGCAAGCAAACCCAGATTTCAATTCAAGGAAAACGCACACACAAACTAAGTAGGAAAGAAGTAGCCAGGAAAGATGTACAAGAAGATATCAAAATCAGAGAAGTTGGGTAGCTAACCGTATTTGTCCAGGACGATGAAAGACATCATATGGGCGCCATAGTTGGTGACCTTGAGAGACATCTTCCCTCTTTCTCGAGCTCATAAGTCCGGATCTTAGTTTCCCCATCACCAGCACCAAAAGCCACTACTAGAAGCGCGCTCAAACTCAAACCGAGGAGCAGCAGAGAAGAACAGTATTTGGCCATGGTTACCACTCTGTTTTTGCTTCTAGGCAGGCCTCCCTTCTCCTCTATTTTGTTATCTGCAGCTCCCTGATCTGCACTTTATATAATGGGGGAAGGCGTCGCTGCTCGGACGAGCAGGAATTGCCACTTCAATTTAATAATTATAATAATTTTGATTTTATTTATTTATTTTAGGGTAAAAATGAGTTGGACATTAAAATAGATTAAATTTTATTTTATTTATTATTTTTCAAATACCACGTCACTAAGTTAACGGTCAACTTTGAGAGTTGACTGCCACATCAATAAAAGTTAACGAAATTGGACGGAGAGTGACCAAACTTGAACGATTTCAGTAAACTGAAGTACCATCAATGGATTTAAATATTTGGAGTGACCAAACTTGAACGTTTTTTTTAATCTCAGTGACCAACCATGAAATCAACCCAATTTATTGGTGAACAAATTACAGGACCAAAATATACCACACAATACCATACAATACCACCCCGTACACCCTGGTACGGGGTGGTATCTTGTGGTACATAATGTTAAAAGTCGTAAATGACAGTTAATATACTTCTACTATCATGTATTCAACCATCCTACAGTCTTGGTTTGTTCATACCACCATGGTACATTTTTCAAACCATATGTATGCTCTTACTTCAATACCATATGGTATAGACTGGTAAAAAATGATTCAATTTTTTTTGTTCGAAATATATATCAAAGTGGATATCATTTTGAAGAGCACAATTAATCTGATCTAACTGTGCAAAAAAAATAAAATTTTGACTTAAAACGAGTGAGAAGTCGTTCGTCAAAGATTAAGGAGGAGAAAATTAAAGGCTTTCCAGGAGAGAGAAAGATGCTGATGTCATGGTGATGTGGATGGGTTACTCATGGTTACTCACCATAAGGTTACTTCCCGGTTTTGATTTGTGGGAAAAGAAAAAAAGTAGGAAAGTTTGATTCTTTTGATTAGAAAAGAGAAATAAGGAGGAAAATTTTGAGTTTTCAACTTTTTGTGGAAAGAAGGAAGTAAGAGGAAAATTTGATTTTTCAATTTTATGAAAGAGAGAGAGGAGTGAAATTTGAATTTTTCAATTTTATAGAAGAGAAAGATGAGGGAAAATTGAGTATTTCTAATTTATAGAAGGAGAAAGAAGGAGAGTAATTTAAGTATTTTTTTATGAAAAGAAAGAAGAAATATTTTTTTTTGTGTTTTCAACTTTTTGATTTTTCAAAATTTAGCTTTTGAAATATGAATCTTTAATTTTTATATGGAGGGAATGACTAATTAAATTATTCTTATATACTTTGAAGGTAAATATATATGTAATTGTTTATGGTCTAATAACCAAATTAACCATTAATTACAATAATCGTTAAATTTGTTTACTTGTTTTCTATGCTTCTACATTTATTGCACATGGTTAATGTATAGGGTATATGATGTATAATATAAGATATCTGGTTAGGGTATAGCAACTATCAATTTTTGTATCTATGTTTTGAAAATCAAAGTATGAATTTCACTTTAAATTAACTATACTAGCAAAATCACAACTCATACGAATATATAGTTAGGGTATAGAGTATGTGGTTAGTGTATAATGTATTGATGGTTTAGGGTATACGATCAACAACATATACTAACTTAATATTGTCGATTGAGGGTAAGGTTAAGTGTATAGGATATATGTTATTGAGTAAATTATGATTGAAGTCACAAAAATTTTACTAAATTTGATAGCTAACATTTAATGGTTCAATTTTTAGGGTAATTCGAATAATTTTACAAATAACTCGTTTGGCAATAGTTTACTGAAGTTATTTGGGCAGTGAGTTATTTCGAAATAACTCCTTTTACCACTCTGTTTTTGCCAAATACCACACGCCAAATACCATATTTGCATGGTTATACTAAACTAGATACTTTAATCCAATTACTACTGAAATAATACTAAAATACCATTACTATTAACTAGTGTACTTTACTAGTTACGATTAATTACATAACAAGTTTGCAAGTCATACAAATTGATTCAATATTTTGAATATTTTTTTAAATTAAGTTTATACGAGGTAGAAAGAAATTAGTTAAAAATTGAGAAAAATATTTTAAATTAGTATAATAAAATGTATAAGTTACGTTGGTAACGAGTAAGGAGTAAGTTACTCGATGCGCTAACCCGAACAACTCGGAACCCGATCCGCCCTTAACCCGCCCGACCCAAAACCTGATAAACCCGCAACCTGATTTGTCCACAATCGGATTGAACCCGAACCCGCAACCCGATGAACCCGAAACCCGACTAACCCGCAATCCAATTGAACCCCGCCCAAACCCGCCCGATTGACACCTATAGTTCCGATGATGGTGAATTGAGAAATTTGGATTTAGGATTCACATTTTAGAGTAACAATTTGGGTAAAGGGAAATAGTACTTAACTCGTAATTGTGGGAGTTGGTGGGAAATTGAGTGCGAAAGGCAGGAGTCACCATCGGGTCGACGTTGGCACCGAAGCAGTGGACATGTTGCGGTGACAGAGGGACGTGGGAGTCAGGGAGAAAGAAAATATGGGTACTTTTAGAGGAAAAAATCCCAAAGTACACTAGTAATTAAAAAAGGGCTAATACCACTACAACACTCGAACTATCGCGAAAATGCCACTTGTGTTCTATTGTTTCCAATATTCCATCTGTGTCTCGAACTATGATTTCGTTAGTGTTGACTTTTGTTGACCGTTAGTTTTTAACAGAAAATCTAGTCAGCACTGATGTGGCATCTGACGTGAAATTTTTAATATTAATTTTTTTCCATCTAATATTAATAAAATAAGAAAAAGGAAATAATTAAAATATAAAATAAAATAAAAACTTAACTCACTAATCCCTTCGTCCCACCCACACAAATCTCTACATTTTAACAAAACACCGCCGGATCCGCGCTCGCCTTTGCCATTTCCATCTCCTCTCCGCCGCTCCCTCTGATTTCCCCTCTCTCCTGCTTTATTTTTCTCTCTTAGGGATCCACTCCAACCCCTTCTTCTTTGTTGTCGAAGATCTGTCTCGACCACTTCTAGAGCGGAAGGCGCACCCATTTGAGGCGCCGGTTTGAGGCGCCAGTTGTCACAATCGAGGAGCAATGAAGGAGGAGGGAGCAAGGAGGTCGCGGATTCGTTGAATCCCTCGGCGTCGTCAGAGAAAAGGTTAGAGAAGCAGGGTCGCCGATTGGGGACTCGCCGATCTAAGTTTTGGCGTTGACAGATCGACGAGGGTATTGGGAGCGGCGGAGAGGATATGGAAATGGCGACGACGAGCGCGGATCCGGCGGTGTTTTGTTGTTGGAAGCCGAGAGGCAGAGCTTCAATTCCGTAGTGTCTCGCATCATCGATCTTGCCTGCCTTTCACCGCAAAGAAGAAGAAAGAAGGAGGAGTTGGCCGGCAGAGGAAGGTCGGCGTCGCCCTGGGTACTGCCTCCCGCCTCGTACGATGGCGCCTCTTCAGATCTGAAAATAGGAGTGGGAGGAGATCTACAGACCGTGTTCTTCCCTAGAAGCACCGCCAATGGATAACTATTTCCATTTTGATTTTGTTTTAATTTTAGTTTGTTTAGTACTATAATTGAATTTACAGTTTTTTAAATTTTAACTCAATTTTTATTTAATTTAAATTTAAAAAATATGAGGTTAGTGACGTGGCATCTATGTGGCAGCCTGATTTTTTGCCACTTCAACAAAAGTCAACTTCGCGTTGACCGCCATTTGGTCAACTGTTATCTTTAACGGTCAATAAAATTAACAGGATACAAATGACACAAAGTATCATAGTTCAGGACACAGATGGAATATTGGAAACAATAGGACACAAGTGGCATTTTCGCGATAGTTCGAGTGTTGTAGTGGTACTAGCCCATTAAAAAAAATTCCCAAAATACATGTTATATAAAAAAAATTCTCAAAATACACATCTTTCACATTTACCGTTTTTGTCTAACGCAGTGAACATAATCCCCGCGTCAGACCAACACGGTGAACAATTCACCGTTTTAATTTAAAACGATAACGTATATTCACCGTGGTTAAGCAAAACGGTGAATAACGAGGGAACCATTCACCGCCTTAAACGAAAACGGTGAAGACATCACCATTTTAATCAAACGCGGTGAAATATTCACCGTATCGATCAGCCACGATGAAAGCGACGCGGATCGCTGACGTAGAAAAACGCGGTGCTAGCTGAAGCCGAGCCACTCACCACTCGTTGACCTTCCAGTATGACATCTCCACTATGACAGAAACAGGCATCGCTCGAAGGCCCTTGTACACATTATTTATACTTTCTCCATGGTTGGTAGTTGCAATGCCCCATCTGGCCCCGTTGTCCATATGGAACGTCCACATGGGCAACTCTTGACCTTCGGCCCATACTGCTCCAGCTCGGTGGGTCTGACGGATCGTCTTCATCTTCTGCTTGTAGTTTTTTTGTTGATGTGCAACCGCTGCAAGGTGAGCAAAATCAAATTGGTCAATACATGATAAATAAAAAATTATTAAATACATAGTTAACTCGCATTAAAGGACATTAGCACTTGCATGTCACAATTGATTTTTGATGTCTTTCTTCTTCCCAAATTTGTGCACAAAATTGGCGAGCCAGTGTAGAATACACCAGCTCCATGTCCATCCCCACTCGTCAGGAAAACCACCCACAGCATTCCTAATCCCCGCGTGTCGATCAGATATAATTGTAATACCCTCCCCTTCCACTAATGCAAATGCAAGCGGGAAAATCCGCCTGTTTCCATCAACGCAGTGGCAATGAGAAGAGTTCCTCTGTACTTCCCAGTAAAGAAAGTTCCATCAACCTAATTAAAAATTAGGATATAATTAGTATGAAATTTACTTAGCAGGAAAGAATACAACATTTCAAACAGTTATTAAAATACCCGAATAACTGGTATGCAGAACGCAAACCCGTCAATGCATGGTTTGAAATCCCAAAAAAGACGGTGAAACATCAACTTATCCTGTACTCAAACTTGATCCTCAGTATATACATTGTTGTATACTGGCACGAAGACAGTCCCAGGTTTGGACTCCTCCATTGCGGCCATAACTCTAGGGAGTAAAGCATACGAATCCTCCCAATCACCATACACCTCAGCCATGGCTTTCTGCTTTCCATGCCATGCTTTTTTGTACCTTATCGTGTAAGAATGTCGATCCTTCACCTCGGCCATGATAGCTTTGACCTAGATATCTGGTTATGCTTCGATAAGGTGCTTAATAGTTCTCCCAACTTTCTTTGCTTTAAGTTGCCTGTGATCCTGGGAAAGTATGGACGAGGAGCAAGTGTGGTCCATCTCAGCTTTTCGAATCACCCAGGAACCCTTTCTCTTCATCTTTGCAGCCCGCAGTTGCCACATACATCCCTCTGCATCATTCTTGCATATGACATGTAGTTGTTTACTATCATAATATTTTACCTTCCACTCGAAAATTGCGCCTCAAGGCCTCTTCGGTAAAAGCATCATGCACAGCGTCCTTCGATGTGAATGCCATACCCACCTCCAAATTGGTTTTCGGGTTATACACTGCATAGGGACAAAGTCGGGGGCATCATTCTGACTATGTAAAAATTGAGTTGGAACCTGTGTGTAGTATGGCGTCGGTGACTCACGAAATGCCGCCTCGTCGTCGGTATCGTCAGTATCTTCCTCCTCGCTCACAGATCTCAAATCTTCCTCAGTATCATCGGCGCTCGAGTCGAATGGATAGCTCGGGCCAGAAGGATCAACATGACAACCATCACCAACACCGTCTTCTCGCTCATGTGAAGTATGCCTTGATCGAATGGTATTCTCGATTTCAGCCCATTCTGACCCCCAAGAAAGCCATTGAACGCCATCGGCCTCAACAAATGGGGCAGGATGATCCCGTTGCGAGTATTCTCGCGATGGCACCATCCTGCACTACTACCTCCACCGTAGTTGCTTGAACTACCACCCTCTCCGTAACCTCCTGTATAACCACCTCCTTCGTAGTTGCTCGAACTAGCACCCCATCCGTACCCTCCTGCAAAACCATCATCATAAGAATACTGGTGAGAATGAGTTTCACCGACCGCCTCGGACTCAACATACACCTCTACAAGCCGCATCCCGTTATCGCTTTTGAACTGTAACATCATCGTAACCGCGTCATCATCATTTATGAAAACTTCTTGTTACACAACCCCGCCAGCACTCATGTCTGGATACCGGTAACTAATTTTACCAAGTCTCGTTTGTCCGCTCGTACAAACCCTGTCTGCACAAATATCACAGAGTTCTTGAAAATTGAATCGCGACTCAATTTTCAGCATAGTGGATTCACTGTCCTCATAATCAATCCCTATGTAAGAGTTTGTCACCCTTCCATTCCACCGAATAATAAGCTGAAACTTCTTGAATTTACCCATATCTACAATTTACAATAAGTAACTATTAGCTTAATTCCAGTAAAATTAACCAAAATCATATTGTACGTACTAATATTACTCCATCTCATAACTAACATAACATAAATTCAACTAACTAACAACAACATAAATTCCCCAACTAACAGAACATATTTGCTATGATAAGTAATTCATATAACAATATAACTACTAAAAACATCATTAGGTTAGAATACATAAGTTAAATCATACCGAAAATTCTTGTTCTGTGTATGTTGCTCGGTTTTGGTTGCTGAAATTTGAAGAGGGAGAGGGGTTACGTTTTTACAACTGCAGGTGGGAGTGCTATTTATAAGAAAATCGGCCAGCATTCACCGCGTTTGTCTCCAATGGTGAACACTATCACCGCGTTGCCCTAAGACGGTGAATATTAGGTGGTTGTGACCTAATTTTCACCTACCAGGGATGGAAAACGTGGGAAACAATCACCGTCGTAACCTAGGGAGGTGAAGTTATTCCCCGCTTTGCCCTAAAACGGTGACTTATTCACCGTTTTCAACAAACACGGTGACTTATTCACCGTTTTCAACAAACACGGTGAAGTCTTCACCGTTTACATTTAACGCGGTGACTTATTCATCGTTTTTCTTAACCACGGTGAATACGTCATTGTTTTAAATTAAAATGGTGAATTGTTCACCGTGTTTGTCTGACGCGGTGATTATGTTCACTGCGTTAGACAAAAACGGTGAATGTGAAACATGTGTATTTTGAGATTTTTTTCATAACTTATGTATTTTGGGAATTTTTTTTAAGTACTAGTGTACTTTGGGATTTTTTCCACTTTTAGAAGGGCTCGACAGAGAGGGGTACTTTCAGAATTTTGCATCTAGTGAACTGTGATTGACGATAGGGGTGTTCAAACGGATTGGATACCGTGGTAACCATATTAACCGCTAGCATTTGGTTAATTTGGTTTGGTTAAATTGAATAATTGGTTTGGTTAAATAATTTAGCTTATTTGGTTTAGGTGGTTTGGTTTGGTTTCAACACTGGAAATCAATTAACCAATTAATGATACACTAAATATACAAAATTATTTATACTTTCATGCAACCAACCAAACCAAACTTTCGTGATTCCCTATTTTATTTCCATGTGCACAACAAACCAAAGCATTATGGTCAAAAATTAGATGGGTCTGCCTATTTACTAAAATAAAACATTTTGGACAACTACTAGACTTTATGATTACGTACAATACCATGACAACCACGTCAAACTATGTATAGTTTAAGTGTTTTGTAGGAGAGGTTTAACTTCATGATGAGTGGTATTGGTATGTATTTAATATTTATGTTAAGGGTTTGTAGTAAACTAACTCTATTGGGTGCAAAGATGATAAATGATAATCATGGATGGTTAGTCTTATCATTATTGCTTATATATAATGATAGTTTGTGATAGTAATAACATATGGTTATGTTGGTAGTAACATATGGTTATGTTTTATTCATTAACAAGATAATTATTTTCATGTAATGTTATGTTATTTGGTTAATCCGATTATCCGATTAATCAAACAAATTAAATTTTAGTTTGGTTAATTTGGTTTTCGTGTTAATTTGGACGGTTGGTTAAGACATTTTATTCTATGGTTAATGAAATTTAGGTTTAATTGGTTTGGTTATTACCACGGTAACCATTTGAAACCCCTAATTGATGGAATTGAGAAGAATAAGTAACGGAAGGGCAAGCTCAACAATGTGGTTGTAATAGAGGGGCAAGTTTGAGGTGATTCATAGTAGAGGGACAAATTTGATAAATAATCATAATAGAGGGAAAATTTATTAATTCTATTAACCCTAATCATAAAATAAATAAAATATTATTATAATTATCACCATCCACGAACAATGCTCCATCATCACCATCCACTTGAGCTGTTGAGCCTCGATTCGGGGCGAAAGTTCTAGGGAACATGGATATGGATCACAAGATCATGATCTCCAACATCTCCGCCATGTCTCTGGCGCAATAGTAGTGTTCCTCTGTCTCTCCTGTCCAGCCTCCCATGTCGAAAGACGACGCCCAACGACTGTTGAAGAAGGTGAGAATCCATTGTTCTTTAACCCAATTTTCGAATTTTGCATTCAATGCGATTCAATTCAGCAACTGAGTTTTGGATTGGTTAGGTTTTGGGGTGGAAATTGTTTGAGGAGGAAGGTGGGCTGAAACTGCAGTGCTTGTGGAAGTTGAGGGATTTCGGTTGTGGGATTGAACTTATCAACAGAATTCACAGAGTGACGGAGGCTTCGGGACATTTCCCCAACGTCCATTTGGAACACCCGAACCAAGTGAGGGCTGAGCTCTGGACTAGAACCATTGGTGGGTGACTTTCTCAATAACCTTCAATTTCATTCTTTGTTCTCGGTTCTCTTTTAATCAGGGTGTTGATCTTGTATTGTCTGCTTGTTTGGGAATTGAGGTTTCAGGAGGATTGACTATGAACGATTTCATCGTTGCTGCCAAGATAGATGCGATTAAAATCTCGGATCTCGCGCCCAGGAAGCAGGTTTGGGCATAAAGCTCAGTCTACAAATTTCAAACATAACCTTCAATCTATATGAAGTTTTTTCATTGAAAAACCTCAATGATCTTCCATGACTGCGTTGCAGCATTTCTCATTGCAATACAAGGTTTCTATACATAAGAAGAAAAAGAGATTTACGGCTCCTCGTGTCGACTACTTAATGAGTGAAGTAACAAGCTAACTCAGATGATGTGTACAAATTGTTCCACGAAGCTAAGGCCACCACGAACAATGCTCCATCATCACCATCCACTCGAGCTGCTGAGCCTCGGTTTGTTGGGTTGGTAAAAATGAGTTGGACATTAAAATAGATTAAATTTTATTTTATTTATTATTTTTTAATGGTCACGTCACTAAGTTAATGGTCAACTTTGAGAGTTGACTGCCACATCAGCCAAAATTAACGGAGTTGGACGGAGAGTGACCAAACGTGAACGGTTTCAGTAAACTGAAGTAACACCAAAGGATTTAAATATTTAGAGTGACCAAACTTGAACGTTTTTTGTAATCTCAGTGACTAACCATGCAATTAACCCTTTTATAAATGGACCCAGGTTAACTCATTTTCTGGCTACGCCCCTGATTATAAGAATACATTTTTCTTGTTGGACGAATATGTATTCTTGTAAATCGTATACTATATTATCATTACACAAATATTATATTCTTCGCTGTTAGGACGTCCTCCCAACAGTAGGTGGGAGGACCATGTCCGATCCGTAGCCAACCCCATTCCCCAACTGCAGCAGCTTTGCCACCCCAATAGTTGGGATTTTTTTTTATGCCCAGTCAAGTGCATTCTTCAGTGGCTCTGTTCTCCCCCGCCGGCCGGACTATAGGTGTCAATCGGGCGGGTTCGGTCGGGTTCGGGTTGCGGGTTAGTCAGGTTGCGGGTTCATCGAGTCGGGTTCAATCGAGTTCGGGTTCAATTGGGTTGCAGGTTAGTCGGGTTGCAGGTTGATCGGGTTTGGGTTCAATCGAGTTGCGGGCAAATCGGGTTCAGGTTAGTCGGGTTTTGTACCGAACGGGTTGCGGGCGGATTGGATTGCGAGTTGTTCGGGTCAACGCATCGAGTTACTTACTCGTTACCAACTTACACATTTATACGCATCGAGTTACTTAATTAAAAAAAACTAGTCAAAATGTTAAATCAATTTGTATGACTTGCTAACTTGTCGTGTAATTAATCGTAACTGGTAAAGTTTACTAGCCAATAGGCATGGTGATATCAACATTTGTAACCAATACACTATTAACAAATCATACATTCAGTAAACAAAACACTACAAGAAAAACACTTTTCCTATCTCAACATTTTTTAGCAGCAATAAAAACTAACCCAAACAAAATTTGGGCGCCAATATAGATGAATCAAAGAGAAATTGGACGACCTTTTGGAGCGGGAAGGAAGAAGTTGGGCGACAATATATATCAAGAAAAAATATAATTGTGCATCATTTTGCAACGAGAAGGGAAATGGGTATAAAAAAGACACATTTTGTTGTTAACCACATATCACAAATCTCTAAATACCCTCATCACAAACTGCACCACTAACCGATGCGGTTCGGTGTGGTTAGTTTGTGATTAATCGCAAAAACCAATTTACCAATCCATCTTTGATAAGGACTGATCTTTCTGTTATAACCGCCATTGCATCTTTGACCTCCTTGCAGAAACGCTCATACACAGGTTTAATTATTGAATTATGGCAATCGTATGACTTGTAAAGTTACCATATAATTAATTATAATTGCTAAAGTACATTAGGTAATAGTTATGGTGAGATCAACATTTCCATCCAATAATCATATTACAATCACAAATTAAAAAGTGTACATAACACAAATAATTCCAAAACTCATATTAAGTTTAAAACAAAAACTTAGAATAACTAACTATACGAACATTTATGTGATGAAATGAAGTGGTGTAAGATATATACAACTTCAACACGTACATGGCTAGAAAATGGCCTACTATTAGTCATACATCTTGTAGGTTGGTCAGATTACACATCTTTCAGCTTAGTGACTTATTGTTAGTGATGTAACTCGTAGTGATGTAACTCGTATGTTAGTTATACTACGTATTTTAGGATTTAATGTGGTTGAGATTTTGTATATGTGGCTAATATTTATTGTATATATGACTTGTGTATCATATCTTAAATTTGTACATGCTAAACACACATATCACATAGATATCACTAATCAAATACAAGTTACTTACAAAGTAACATTTAAACTTTTAAGGTTCAGAATATGAATTGGTTTGATGGACAATGGTAAATTTTGTTAATGAGTTTTGTTTAAATTTACACCTAACTCTCAACAATATCATTTTTTTATTAAACCCTTGATGCGCATGGGCAAACAACGAACTTTAGTTATGCGCGTGTCAATAATGATCCATAGAATAAAAAAGAGAAAAAAACAACAATCCTTGTTATGTGTTTGATTAAAAACTTTAGCTATTTTCAATCTTCATTTCTAGTTAATTACTATGTTTAATGTGGCAATTATCTTTCCAAAATTTAGGTGAAAATCAAGATGCATTTACTTTTTTTTTTTTTTTTTTTTTGCGGATCACACAGATTAATAGTTAGGCACATGAATTATTGTCTCTAATAGCAAGTTTTTTTAGAATTCTCTAATATGAATTCTAAACGGCCACACAAGGCGCACTTTATTTTCAATTGGTATTTGGGACACCCCGCCGGTTTTACCAGTCCAAATTTTTTGTCTCCCGCCTGCTTAACATGGGTTCTTTTTAATTTTCACTCCAACAACTTCCCCGCCTCTCATTTATTCCCGCCTCCCCAATTCTCATTTTTCGTTCCTAACTTTTGGCTCCATAATCCCAATTTTTGACTCTCATCTCTCGCAATATCTTTAACCAGTATTTTCAATTTTCATGTTCATAGAAAACATATTTTACTGGAAGACCCGCCATTTCTCAATGCACATAAAAGGAACAATAATAGAATTATTCATTTTAATGATTCCCGCCAATGATTCATCAAAAATACCCGTCCATAATTTTTTATATAAGACCTGCCAATTATTAATCCAATGTTTCCTTTATTTCCCGAGTTTTGGCCAATTTTAAGTTTCATCATCACTGCCAAATCAACTGTTTTTTAGGATGTTATTTGCTTCTGTCCCTTTTCTTATATGATAGTTCATCTTAGGATCTGTTTTATAATTTAGTCATTATAGTTCCTCTTATTGTTTGTATTATAGTATGACAATATCAAAGTTTCCTACTTGTTTTAAAATAATCAAATTATCAAATACATAATTTTACTCTATTTATATTTAATTGTAACTTTGTTGAAAAGTAATTATTCAGGTCAAACGAGTGGGTCGCGGGTTAGTCGGGCTCGGGTCAATCGGGTTTGGGTTAATTGGGCTACGGGTTTAATTGGGCTTGGGTCAATCGGGTTCGGGTTAGTCGGATTGCGGGTTAATCGGGTTGCAGGCCAATCGAGTTACGGACCAATCGGATTACGGGTCCGGCGGGTTGCGGGTCATTGACTTGTAGTCAATTCGGGTTGCGATCGAGTTTCGGGTCGGGTTGATCGGGCGGGTTATTCGGGTCGGGTTTTGTTTTGACACTTATAGGCCGGACCAAGATCGGCTTGGCTTCCCTTTCTTCACTTGAAACTCAGCTAGGTTTTCTTTCGCATTTTTGTGATTTATCTCCATTATCGTTGCTTTAGTAGTGTCAGCTAGCTTTTGAGAAGTGTATATATATATAGCCAAGGTTCTGGTCCTTAAGAATAATATAGTTGATTCGGGTCTAATTGTACATATTTTATCCCGTTTTCTTTAGGCGTTTGTGGCAATTGTGCTCCTAAAAGGGTGGTTTTACGCGAGTTTTCTTGTGTTTTAGCATGTTTCAAGATTTAACAGGTGAAACCAACCCCGAAGTCGAAAGTTGGACGAAAAGGAGCGAAAACCGGCATTTCACGGTTTCCCTTGGAAGTTCATGGTCTTCTAAGACCGTGAAGAGGAGCTGTTGCCCGTGAACATTAAGGTGTCCAGTGAAAAATCTGAAGTTACTGACGCTAGGTGAGTTCACGGTCACTAAGACCGTGAACTGGAGCTGTTGCCCGTGAACCTGCACAAGCGAAGAGGTGCGTTTCAACGCCAACTTTGAGTTCACGGACGCGTTCAAGAGTTCACGACCGTGAACTGAGCTCAATGCCTGTTTAAAAGGAGAGCTGAAAGGAAGAGAATGAGGGAGCGAAAGAGTGAGAAAGTGCCTTCTTCAGATTTTAGAGAGAGAAAGAACGAACCAAGAAAGGAAGAAGGCTAGGGTTTGCTCCAAGTGGTGAATTGGGATGATTTTCCCCAAAAGAAGTTCATCACAAGCTCAAAGGAGATTGGAAGCATCACCATAATGGTTCTACCTCTTCCTCTTATGTTTCTCCCCTTTCTAGCATGGAGTAGTTTCCTCTTTTCACTTGTGTGTTGTGAAACCCTAACTATTTGCCATGTAGTTGTTATGTAAATTGAATGATTGTTTATGGGTGTTGTTTAATACAATGATTGAGGTATTTTTCATGTAGATTGTGCATGTTTGTGCTTAGCAATCTAATTGGCCATTCTAACCTAAATTAGAGTGGAAACCCTCCTTTAAAGGGAGGCTCAATTGAGTTGGGATTCCTAGGGCTTCTTAATCCACTTATCTAGGTTAGTATAGGGCAAACCTATATGTTGAATTAAGAAATTTGCTTAAGCGGGATTAAGCCGACCAACCATTGGGTTGAGTGAGGGAGTAAGTCAACCGTCGATTGCCTTAACCGAGAGGGCCGCTTGAGTAGCCTATAATGTATCCCTCGGTTTGGTAATCGAGAGTGTGGTCTACGACCATATTTGCGTCCCCCTAGCGGTTCGCGGTCACCTTGCCTATAACAATCACTTCGATTCACATACCATGGTAGTAGTTAGGGGGAAGCGACACCCGAGTGATACTTTCCGCAAAGAGCTTTCGAAACCATTTACTTTTGCCTTGCTTTACTTTAATTAGCAAACTTTTCAACCAAAACTGATTCGCTAGATAATGATTCAAATTACTAAAGTAGGGGTACACGGACCGGGCCGAGTCGATATTTAAACATACTTATCATGTATTGCAACCGACTAAGGTTTATACTTGTACCTTAGGCGGGAATTAATTGTGATATTCAGGATGAGTCAGTAGTCATAATCGCGATTCAAAACTTAAAAGCTTACGCTTTTATACTTCTAGATCACCAAAACGCTTCTACGTAAAATCGTTATTTTCTCTTTCAAGTGTAGTCAAAGTCTACACTTTAAAAATTAAAAACTTACCGTTTAAAATACATGGGTAATGACTATTTATTAGCCAAATCTTTTTTGAATTCTTTTTTTATTAGCCAAACCTATCGAAATACTAAGAATTAGCCAAATGTTAACTTTCAGTTATCAATTTTATTAGTAATATTGACTTGATACTAACTTAGAAGAGACACATAAATGTCAACATTCCAAAATTTTAGTATTTTAACCAGGGTTCAAGAAGGCTCGCCTAGGCGCACGCCTAGTCTCAATTAGGCGCTAGGCGGTGGAGGATCGCCTTGACTTGGCCATAGGCGTTGTAAAAGGCGCTGGTAGCGCTTAGTAGGTAGGAATAGCGCTTAATTTGCGCCTAGTGGGGATAAGGCGTGCCTGGGCGAGCTTAGGCGGTTAAACCCAATACTCTTCGTTTTGTCCTAGAAAATCAGAAAATTGCCTCTTGCCCTAGAAAATCAGAAACACGGGAAGGGATGACCATGCTATCTATGTATTCGTAGATGAGGATGAAGAATCATATTGTGCACCCTCGAGTACTGTTACAGATGCAATGGCGGTTGAACAGAGTGAGCTTCGCATGAGTGCACGAGTGAGAGAGCTCCATGATGAAGAATTAGAGTTTGAAGAGGAGGAAGAGGAGGAGGAGGAGGATGGTGAGGAGATTGCTTTTGAGGATGATGAAGATGAAGTGGTGTCTGGACGGACCTACTTTGATGATGAAGAATGAACATTTTCCTATGAACTTATTGACTATTGTTTAGTATTTCGACATTTTATGAACTTGTGATTCTAGAAGGTGGTCACTATTTGCTTGTTATTTGTTATGTTAAGTGTTTACTGTTAAGAACAAGGCATTGCTAATTTTTATGCACTTGGATTATATGAATTATTCCAGAAAACAGGAAATATTTGAGAATTTTTTCCATTTATGCTCTGTACGCCTAGGCGCGCCTAGGCTACGCCTAATCAGGCAAGGCGCAAGTCATGAGCCGAGCGCCTGCCTTACGCCTAGCGCCTTTTAGAACCTTGATTTTAACTAAAAAAATAGTTACAAAATAATTAACGATAACGTAAAAATAGCTAATATTTTAATGTATTACGAAAAATTTAGCTAATTAATAGCATTTTAATAGATTTGAATAACTAAAAAAATCTAATAAAAATGGAATAAAAAATAAAAAATACCCAAAATACATCTATCGAAAAAATACTTGCCGGGACCCGGGAGGTTTATAAAGCTAGTTTCGGATTACTGGATATCAACCCGATTAAAGTACCTCATTGAAAAATCCACCTACTCCGCCACTTGCCTGTCCAACAAACAAGACAAAATATTAATTTCCGTCGGACCAGTCTCGTGAAATTTCCCGAGCAAAGCGCAGAGCATAACTTTACTGAGTTCCCGGGAAAATACCTTCTGTACGAGCTTTATATCCTACCCGGTGGCTGCGTTTCTTCTTCAATCTTTCTCTATTGCTTCGTTCTCTAAGGGCACGGAAGAGGAATGAAATCGGGAAGGTCAACTGAGTTTACTTGTGGAAGCGGGAACCCAACTACCCAAGGATCTCAGTAAGTGCTTAACCCGTTTGCTGGATTTGATCCTATCCATAAAGCTTTAGTCTCTGTGATTCACATAGCCTGAACTGATTTGGTGAATCTCTTGAGAGTTCCTTTTCTCCTCTTTTTTGCCCCATGGTCAAGTCCCCGCCCTAATTTCTTACTGACTACATAGCTGCTTGTCTGAATGGGTTCGCGTTAAGCTTCGCTTTCTTTGATGTGTTACTGAATTCCGGCGTTTTGTGATCATTTTGGGATCTGGATGGGCGAGTAAAGCTATCCTGGAAACTAAATTAGTGAGATTGAAGGATTCAAGAGTGAGTCTCTTTGATTGGTGAAGGTGGTCCTCTTAATTCTTCATCCCAAAAATGATGCTGTCAAAAACTGAGTATGCAAATGCTGAAGAGGACGAAAAAATGCATAGTGGCCAGTTGTTGCGTGACATAGAGGCAATAAGCAGAGCTCTATACCTGCAGAAACCCCGATCTGATGTTCGTTCGAAATCCGTAGGGAAAACACGTGCTACAGGTTCTAAACCCAGAATCTCTGATGAGCATCACCATTTTAATGAAAAGAACTCGGTATGGAACTGGAAGAAGTCCCTGAAATCTTTGGCACATATTGGTCACAAGAGGTTTGATGTTTGTTTCTTTCTCCATGTTCATTCGATTGAAGGGCTACCCCTGGGTTTCAATGACCTTAGTTTGTCGGTGCATTGGAAGAGGAAAGATCATGTTGTGAGCTCCCGGCCTTCAAGGGTTATGCGGGGAGTTGCTGAATTCGATGAGGCTTTGATGCACAGATGTTATGTATATGGGAGCAGAACTGGACCACAGAATTCTGCAAAATATGATGGAAAGCTTTTCATGATCTATGTTTCTGTAACGGGTACTCTTGATATTGACTTTGGAAAGCGGTGGGTGGATCTTACGAAGCTGCTGCCTTGTACTTTGGAGGAACTGGAGACGGAGAAGAACAGTGGTAAATGGACTACTAGCTTTGGACTTGCGGGTAAAGCCAAGGGTGCAACCTTGAATGTTAGTTTTGGTTTTTCTCTGGAGAGAGATAGAAATTCTGTATCACAAGTGAATCAGACTTCCTCTGTGCTTGATCACTTGACTCCCAACTTTCCACGCAACACGGAAGCAAGAATGAGATTTGCAGCTTCTATGAGGGACGAGATTCATTGTGTTAGAAGTATACCTCATAGTATGAACCATGAGAATCCTCTATGTTTTCAGTCTGTTGATGTAAAAAAATTCGATGAAGTTCCGCAAAATGTAGGATTGGAGCTTTCCAAGTCGATAAAGTTTCTGTACCAGAAACTTAATGAGGTTAACTTGCATAATTCAGATGATCTGGATGCTTTAGCTGCTCATCTATGGCTGGAGAACTCTAACGTGGGTTTGGACCTTGATAGAAGTTCTAGCAAAGATGGCTGTGATGATGAATTTGAATTCACCATCATAGATCAAGGGATAGAAATGCCAGAGAAGTTTGAGTCGGAAATCATGAGAACTTGTCCTTCTGATGTTGGACTTGATGGTTCTGTAATTGAAACTATTGATATCAATGAAATCATTATGGATGATGACGAATCCCTTGCTGCACAAAAAATGTCTCATGTACAGGAGATCGTAGATGATATAGGAAGTCTTTTGGTAGCTCCCTCGGAGGACGAAAAGAAAACTAGATCTGTATATGGATCATCCTCAGAAGATCCAGAGGCAGCCTGTTTAGTTCCTGGAGATTATGCTGTTGAGTCTCCTTTATCTCTTAATTACTTTACCGAGCATGAAAATTATATGGAGATGAAGTCAGATTGTGCTACACACAGTAGTGTTAAGAGATCACTCAGTTTGGATGAAGTCACTGAGTCTGTGGCTAATGATTTCTTAAATATGCTGGGAAGTGATGGTGGATCCTTTCGGATAAATTCAGATTGTATTGCTGAGTCTCCAAGAGAGCTCCTCTTAAGAGAGTTTGAGAAAGACGCTCTTTCATGTGGCGACTTTATCTTGGATTGTAACTTATCTAGAGATGATGGCAGATCCGCTTATGTTGGTGAAGTGGGATCCAGTTATGGGAGTATTTGTCAGGATTTTGATCGTCCCTTGAGTATACGGACTTTAAGGAAGGAACAACCCCTGGCTATTGAGTTGCCAAGTAGGAGGACCACGGTCAGAGTGCTTGAGGACATGGAGACTGAAGCTTTAATGAGAGAATGGGGATTAAACGAGGATGCATTCCAGAGCTCTCCACATGATTACTCTGGTGGATTTGGTAGTCCAATAGAAGTTGCTTGTGGGAAGGCATTCGAGCTGCCGCCTCTAGGTGATGGTTTTGGACCTTTATTGCGAATCAGAAACGGTGGTTATTTGAGGTCTACCAGTTCTATTTATGGACATTCTAAAAATGTTCGAAATTTGATCATACAAATTTCACCCCAGGTTGTCCTCCCTGCTACAATGGGTTGTGATATATTGGAGATATTACAGCATTTGGCATCCGTTGGAACCGAGAAGCTTTCCTCCCAAACAAAGAGACTAATGCCTTTACAGGATTTAACAGGGCAGTCACTGGACCAAATAGTCCTTGCTCCAACACACAGTGCAGCTTCAACTCATAGGTTTGATAGCCCCTCTTTGTACTCAAATGTTTGTGATTCTGAGATGGCATCAGAGTATGTATCACTTGAGGATCTTGTCCCTCTGGCATTGGATAAGATTGAGGTCCTGTCAATTCAGGGTTTAAGGATCCAGTCGGGCATGTCTGATGAGATGGCACCTGAAACCATATGTCCCCCCCAGTCTGGTAGAGAATTACAAGTGCTTGATGACATAAGGGAAAATAGTAGCGCTGCTGTTGGATTGTTGGACCTTTCTCTGACATTGGATGAATGGTTGAGGATTGATGCTGGAATGAGCAATGAAGGGAAAGTTAGCCAGCAGGCAACATCAGTTTTGAGAGCTCATCAGGCTAAGCCCATTAACATTGTTAGTGATATTTTGGGAGGAGGATCGCCAGTAAGGTATGGTGTATTGGGTAACAACCTTACTGTAGCTTTCATGATACAGCTCAGGGATCCCCTTCGAGATTGTGAACCTGTGGGCGCATTGATGCTTGCTCTAATACAAGCACAGAGAGAGTTTCTGCATTTAGATATGCCCGAAGAGGGTCCCATTGGGTTCAAAATCTGTGATGTCCATGTTTCTGGGTTGAATACTGACCCAGGGAGGACGCAGCTCTGGGGTACAAAAGCCCAGCAACAATCTGGAGTTCGGTGGCTGCTTGCTAGTGGATTATCCAAGTCCCATAAATACCCAGTTTCCAACTCGAAGGCAATTGTCTTATCACACCCACAACAAAATTCGAAGGTGGCAACTGGTGACATATTGTGGAGCATAAGCTGTGGTTGGGAAGAAGGGGCAGGGTTTACGAGGAATCCAGATGTTGAGATTCCAGGACAATGCCATTAGGCCTGCTAAGACCGTAATTCGACTGGGAGTTTTCATTTTTGGCTTGGTATCTTGTTGGTTGAGATTGTTCTGTTTTTACTTTTTAACGTGTTTATAAACACTGGACACGGAAGAAGAAACTGTATAACCTGATGCCATAGCAGGCCCGAGGAAGTAGAAAGCTTTCTTGTAGTGTGGGATTGGGGCCGTCCTTGGTACGTACAATACAATATTGTATATTGGACTGAAAGTTTGAATTACAGTGTTACGTGGAAAAGGGTGTTTGGTGGGCATGTGAGTGAAGGAACTAAGGATCTAGACGCGTATAGCAGGATTCCGCTCACAATATTGCTCAAGGTAATAGGGATTTAGGGATTAGAATTGGGGGATAATGGAGAAAAGAGAGAGATGGGAAGGAGAAGAGGTTCAGCTCCCCTAGGGAGGAAGAGAGCCGCCGAGTGGAGAGAGGAAGAATTAGGTTTAGGGAATAATAATTCTTATTTCTTGCTTAACATCAACACCCCACCCGAACAGAATATATAAGACCGACAAATTACCTGTAACTACCCGAATAATGAATAACATCCGAATTATGAAATATTCCCCAAAGTTAGAAATAACAACCAGAGTCCCTCAAATAGAAATAATTACCAACCCAACCCAAGTACTGCAGACCCTAAGATTTATGTTTTCTACAATCCACCCACGTTGAGACCAACCTTGCCCTCAAAGTTGGCTTACTTAGGCTCCTCTTCCTCCAGGGCTGCGTACGCCCCTTCCATGGCCAGCTCTTCACCCTCATCTTCCCAGTTACCCACTAGCAGCATCAAATGACCCTTCGAACATTGGTGTCCCACGGTGTACCTCTCGTTGCAATTGAAGCAGAGCCCATCCCTACGCTTCTGTTTCATCTCTGCTGGAGTGAGCTTCACGAACCCCTTCGGTGGCAGTCGAGCCGGAATGCGCCCTCCCTGCGAAAATCCCGTAGTCACCGGGTTTGCAGCTCCCGTTGCGGAGTTCCCTGTTGGTTGATTCCCTGCGGAACCCGCGGGACCTGCTCCTGCTCCACTGGCGCCTACACCCGTCGCTCCCCCACCTTTGGTCCAACGTCCCATACTTCCCTTTCAGCTAGCCAGCTCTTCTTCTTTTCGAGGTTCGAATACCTTGACTGCCGCGGCTAACTCCGATCGTAGTCTCGCCATGCACAGTCCCACTAGATTCTCTTCAGTTATGCCCTTGCACTGGTTTGCAACTTGAGGAACTCTGCAAGAAACTCTACTACCGACCCTGTCTGCTTCAACTTCGTCAGCTGCTCTGCGCTGTACATGGGCGTTGGTCTGTGCTTGGGTCGGCACGGCACGGGCACGTTTCGGGCCCATTTATTTCTTGCCGTGCTTGGCACGGCCCGTAAGTTTTTGTGTCGTGCCATGCAACTTTGCCAGGCCCGGCCCAGGCCTGGGCACGGTTCGAATTGTGTCGTGCCTATTCGTGCTCATGCCATGCTCGTATTCGTGTTTAATGAAAAGGACGAAAACAAAAGAGAGAATGAAAAAGAAGGTGAAAATTGGACGAGGGAAGATAGTAGTAACCGATAATATTTGAGAAAAGTAACAAATAGGGGGGAAAGAAAATTGAAAGTACAGCGAGTGTGATTTGGCTTTGTTTAATTCTTTATTCATTTTTATTTTTGTTAGTAATTACGTATATATCTTTATGACACTTCTAACAACAACAAATAATTATTTTTCTACTTGTGTTTTGTAATATTTGAACCTATAATTCTTTTTATACTTATTTTCTATCAAATAAATATTATTTTCGTGCCATGTCCGTTCTTATACTCAATAAAGTCTCGAAAATATTAGACCCGACACGGCCCACTTATATACCGTGTCGTGCCCATGCCCATGAAGTTTAGGCCCGGCACGGCCCATAAATTATTCGTGCTCGTGCCGGGCTGGCCCATTTATTTCCTGCCAGTGCTCGTGTCATGTCTTGCTAACCCGTGGACGGCACGGCCCGGTGCCCACGTACATCTGGCGCCCACCCATGTGCTTTCCCAAACTGATACTTGATCTCCTCCTGAAATATAGGCCATGTGATCACCACATCGACCGCTGCATAAGACCGCTCCATCCACTCCCACCAATGTAGAGCGTCCCCTTCCAAATAGAACGATACCGGCTGCGCCTCTCTCCTCTCTGGTTGGGTGATTTTTGAACCACCTCTCCGCCGCATACAACCATAACCCCACATCTCCATGTCCATCAAACATGGGAAACTCGATCACAGTAGGTTTAGCTCGAAAAACGATGCCATCAGTCATATCATAAGGGTAATAATATCCATCATACATTTCTGCACTCGGTTTGAACTGCCCATTTCCACCCCCATAGTACGGCCCCGACTCCGGGCCCATCTGCGAGTGGAAATTTCCCCCACTCTGCTCTTTAAAGGAGCGACCCACTTCTCCCGGCCTGGTTCTAGACCCCTGTCCTTGCTCCAGTTCTCGTCCACCTCGGCTCGGTTCAACCCTAGGGGTGACCAAGGGCGGGTAGGGTGAACAAAAGGTCCGATATGGCCCCACCGCGGCCCAGATTCCCCCGCCAAAGCTGCTGCCCGCGGCCGCCTTGCGCCAATCTGGTTGACCTGGTTCAACTCAATTCGGTACGACTCCGATCCGACCGATTCGCTCCAGTCTGGCCCCTCGTGACCGGTTTGGGTCAGCGACCCAGCCTAGGTTCGCTCCAATTGGGCTCGGGTCAGACCACTGGGTCTCGTAGCCCATTGGGCCTAACCCTTCCGCTAGCCCATAGTAACCCAACCTGTTACCACGCGGGTCCGTGTAGGGCGGCCTACCATCGTAGCACGCCGCCTTGCCTTTATCGCGTCCATCCATCACCGCGGGCCCCTAGGGAGTCGGCAATAAGCCTGGCTCACCGATCGGATGACTCGAACCGTGGCCCACAAGGTTAGGGTTTGGAAACCCTAACGCGTGGCTTTCCTCGCCCGACATGCCACCCCCGGGACCAGCGCCTCCAACCGGCCATGCTCCGTCTCCGCCGTTTAGCCAGCTGCCTCCCCCTGCCTCCTCCGTCGTCGTGACCACCTTGGCCTCCACGTTGATCGCGGCCGCCCGCTCGAGGCGCTCTGCCTCCGTCTCCGTCTCCCTCGCGCCATCGCTAGGCTACACCGCGGCGTCCTCCCTTCGTCCCGTCTCGGTCGGCAGCAGGGCGGGTAGGAAACGTGTCTGCGTCTCCGCCATCAGACGGATGGCCTGCTCCATCCGCTCCATGGGTTTAATCAGGCTATTCCGCAACTCCTGGAGGTTGACAGTTGTCTGTGTGGTGGTTTTTTCTTGCTGAGCCTCCACTCCTTGCAAGCTTGGAGCAAAGCCTCGTGCTTGGTGTGATCCTCGATGATCACGGTATCTTTAGCCGGTCTAGTTGTCTTGTCCGTCATCTTGTCAGCCATCGTCTCTATCCCGCGCCAAGCAGACTCTGATACCATTGAAGGAACTTAGGATCTAGGCGCGTACAACCATGATTCAACTCACAATATTGCTCAAGGTAATAGGGATTTAGGGATTAGAATTGAGGGATTTTGGGATTGAGAAAAGAGAGATATGGGAAGGAGAAGAGGTTCAGCTCCCCTAGGAAGGAAGAGAGCCGCCAAGTGGAGAGAGGGAAAACGAGAGAGAGAGAGAGAGAGAGGAAGAATTAGGTTTAGGAAATAATAATTCTTATTTCTTGCTTAACGTCAAAACCCCACCCGAACAGAATATATAAGACCGTCAAATTACTTGTAACTACCCGAATAATGAATAACATCCGAATTATGAAATATTCCCCCAAAGTTAGAAATAACAACCAAAGTCCCTCAAATAGAAATAACTACCAACCCAACCCAAGTACTGTAGACCCTAGGATTTATGTTTCCTACAACATGTTGTAGCGTGGTTGTGAGAGCGTACAATGAAAATTTTAGTGGTAGTTTAGATGGATTATTCTTTTTAAACCAGTCTGCTTTGTATTCTTCCTTCGTTTTTCAATTACATAACGTATGGTCGAAAAATCTAATGTTTCATTGAAAATCCAACTCGTATAACTAAACTGAACTCGACCAAGCTGACCCGCCTCTACCTGGATCTCTTCGAAGACCTCATCCACTTCCAAGGCATAACGCATTTCCTGCAGCACCTTCTGTATCCGCAAGAGACAGTCTGATCCAACATCTAAGGCGGAGAAGCCAAAGCGAGCAGCAATCTCTAGAGCAAAGAGCACTCCCATCGCCTCAGCGTTCTTCGGCGCCCACTGTCGCTGAGTTCTCTTCACAAACAGCAAGACGAAATTTCCCTTTGTAGTCGCGAAAAACAACACCCAGTCACGTTCCCTTGTCTTTGAAGAACGCGCATCAACATTTACTTTCAACCGATCTCGAGCAGGGGGCTTCCACTGAGATGGTTGCTGGGCTTGTGGGTAAGTACCTCTGGTATGGTAGATTTTGTATTCTTGAAGCCATTCTAGTGAGCTGGTGATAATTTTCCCCCCCATCTCTCTTCTTATTGTTCCACAGATGGTTGTTTCGCTCGTTCCAAACGAACCAGAGAGCCACCATTAAGGATTTGAGTGTCGCGTTGTCCTCACTTTCCTGAAGTTCACAACACCATTCTTCACAGGTACAATTTTCACCTTTTCTGAACAACTAATTAATTGCTTAAGGTTGCCAAATTCGCCTGATCCAACCGGAATCTAGAAATATATGGGGTTGTGTCTCCTTTAGTCCGAAGAAAGGACATTCATCGCCGCCTCTACCACTTCTGTCCACTAGATCTCCCCTCGCAGTAAGAATATTATGGATCCAGCGCCAGGCGAAAACTCTAACTTTAGGTGGTATATTAAGGTTTCTGATTCGCTTCCAATTCACTGGGACGTATAGTTCCCCTATGACTTCCTCTTGTACTTCTTTCCACTTCCTATAGGCTGACCTCATTGAATAGAAGCCTCAGATATCCAAACCCC